CCCCCCAAGGGAGACTTTTGATTGGTGGTACACGCCGATCTTTCTGTCATTTCTACATCAAAGCCACAGCGTGCGAGTCACCGGCTGCAAGGACAGTTAGGGCAAGTTTTGAGGTACTTCATTCTTGGGAGAGCCACTTAATGAGCCGGAAACTGGGGCCCAGATTTTCAGCCATGTGTTTTCACTTCAAAGGACATTTCTGAATTAAGCTATTCTCCGTAGATTTAGAAGTTTTTAAAGGAAAATGTTACATTTTTTTCCATTCCTCTTGGCAATGCCCTAACTGTGGCAAGAGAAATTCTAGACTGCTTGATTTTTATGCGGATGATCGAAACCAGATGATCGCAGCCTTGGATGGCAGCAGGTACCTGGAGCGCCCAGGGACCCGCGCTCCCCCGAGCTTGGGCACATGCCCCACGGAAGGGTGTGCGCTCCAAGGGCCGAGCAGCCAGACAGGACAGGTTGGAGGAGAAGACGCTGGTTAAAGCACGGACTACACAGAGAACTTTCTCAGTGCGTTTTTGTCCCATGGGAGTCTCTGGTTTCCCACGAAGAGAGATGACTTAGATAAATAAGATTAAAACTGTCAATAGCCAGAATCTTTTAATACGTAATTGTTCTTTCTGTCTGTTTATAATGTCTCCAGCATTTCCCCTTAAATTCCATGTTAATTCTATTGTTTTATTTTCTAGATATTTGGTTTGGTATTTTCTATGATCCTGTTCTGCCAGATCGGGAAAAGATGAATCTGTGGATATGTCGAGCTACCATCAGTCAAACTCCTTTAAAATCTCGCTTTGGCTTTGTAACTTTAAATATATAAGTGCTGAATATGTTAGGAGCAGCTGTCTTATTAAAATTTCTCATTTAGCTAGACTATAGATATCTTCCAGACATATTGGGCATATTTAGGATTTTAGTGACACTAGGAAAATAATATGAATGTGCATTTTTACTCAAAATAAAAGTAAGGTTCTTTACGTTGGTGCTTTTTGGTGTCTGATCATTGTGTTCAGGTGGCACTGTGCTTAAAACATTCATCTGGAGCCACCCAGTGGGATAATCTTCATCTGAGTGACAGGTAGTCAAGGCAGTGCATCTAGGCTCTTCAGAAGCAACACTGTTTTGTGTGCTGTCTCCGCCTTTAGTGATAAGATTAAATTGAGTCACAAGTTGAAAGATTGAGAGAGTGACCCAGCTCTTTCTTATTTATGCCAATGTCTACTGATGGTGTCTCTCTTTTCTCTCTGTCTGTTATGGGCACAAGAAGATGTGAGAAGTGTCTTTCCAGCCACTGAATCTCTGGTTCCTCTCTGGACCTTTGTCTGGAACATAGTTACAACTGCTTCTATCTTTCTAGGTCTCACAGACACTTTTACATTTTACCTTTTATTGAGGTACAGTGCACATGCCATAAAGTGAACAAATCATAAGTATACACCTGTGTAAGCACTATCCAGATCAGGATACAGGACATTCGGGCACATCGGAGTGCCCCTCCGTGCCACCTGCTAGTGGTGTGCCCCAGCTGGCTTACGCGGACTTTCGCAGCAGACCGTGTCCACATCTCTTCCCAACCCTGTGCTCAGTGATACCACATTGGCAGCCTGAGATCCACCATGGTGGGAGTGTTTACACCATGGAAACTGGAAAATGCTATAAAGTTAGGGATTTTGGTTTTTTTTGAGAGCTGGTTGTTAAACTGTTACTAGTATGTCATGGCCCTTTTCAGCAAACACCTCCCCAAAGACAGCCACTTGTCTGAATTCTGTGACCACAGATTCACTTGCCTATTCTTGAACTTTCTATAAGTGGAATAGTAAAATAAGCACTCTCGCTTCTTTCTCTCCACCATTCTGTCAGTGAGATCCATCTATATTGCTGCATGCAACCGGAGCTAGTTCCCATTGTTACGTAGGAGTTCACTGTATAGGAACATACATCACAATGTCTTTATCCACCCTCTTGTTGATGGGCATTGCGTTTGCTTCCAGTTTCGCATTATTGTGAATAAAGCTGCTGTCAGCATTCTCGTATGTCTTTAAGCATGTATATATACTCATTTCCAGGTAGATACACAGAAGTGGAATTGCTTTGTGTTCAAATGTTTAGACTTAATAGACTCAAGAAATTTTCTAAAGTGGTTGTATTCAAACTAGAAAAGTATAATAGAACTCAATCTCTTCTTCTGGGGGCAGAAAGAGGAAGAAAGGCAGTCATTGTCAGGTAGATCTGAGTGACCAGCAAGGAGTGGAAAACCTGGGGGAGCCCTGGCTGGGTTAGACAACCTGATTCTGTGGTCCCCTACTGATGACAGAGGAAACTATCCTCTGAGCACATGTCATCTCCCACAAACTATACCAGAAACTGTACTTTTATTATCTGATTTCCTCTCACCACATCCTTATAAGGTAGATACTATCTATTAGTAGCCTCATTTTGCTGGTGAGAAAGTAGAGAATTAGAGCTCTAAACCCAGAGCCAAACCATTAATAATTGGGGAAACTAGGAATCAAACCTTGACAATAATCTCCCAAATCCTGGCTGAGGATCATGTTTTATTTGCCTTTCCCATGTTTATTAATAAATTGTCATATTTTATCATAATTACCTGTTCATGTGTTATTTCTTATTTGTCATTATGTCCCCAGTACTTACTGGAGCTCTTGACACCTAATAGGCTCTCAGTAAATTGTAGCTAAAAATAATACTTAGGTTTATTGAGAGATTATTATATGCCTAAAAAAATATTCTAAGCATTTTGCATAGGGTAGCTCATTTAATCCAGAATGACCCTCTTAGGTTAGTACTATTATTAGACCCAATTTACAGATGAGGAATCCAGAGCCCAATGAGGTTAACTAACTTTTCTTAGGTCATGCAGCTAGTTAAGTGGAGGAGTTGAGATTCAGTCTAAATGACTCAAAATCTGTGCTCTTTATATCACATCATCTTGCCCTACCTTACAGTGTTATTTGGAGAAATAGATAAGAAAATGAATAAAGAAGTGCCTTTGCCTAGTGTCAGGCACACATTAGGATATTTTATGGTAAATATTTTATGGCATCAGTGACATAAAGAACTATATCCATCAGGGTAGGCAGGAAAACAAAACCCTAGCTATTTAAATAATGGAAATACAATACAAGGAATTGCTCTGTTAGTTTGGGCTGCAATAACAAAACACTGTAGTCTAGGTGGCTTAAACAACAGAAATAAATTTTTTCATAGTTCTGGAGGCTGGAAGTTCAAGATCAGGATGCCACAAGTTCCGTCCCTGTGAGAGCTCTCTTCCTAGCTTACAGATGGATCACTTTCTTGTGTATCCTCACATGGCAAGGAGAGAACGAATGAGCCCTCTGGTGTCTTACAGAAACACTAATCCCATTAGATCAGGGTTTCACTCTTAAGATGTCATTTAACCTTAATTGCTCCCTGACTCCAAATACAACTACCCAGGGGGTTAGGGCCCAAGCATGAATTTAGGGAGGGAGGGGGAAATTCAGCCCAGAGCAATTGCTTCCATAAGAGGATGGAAGAAGAAGCCAAATGGGATAGCAAGGTAAACTAGAAATTAGCAACAGTAAGAAGTTGCTCCCACTCTTAGGCCTGGAAAAACAGACATAATGTCACCACAGCCCAAGATCTGGTGGAAGATGGAACCCATGGCAAGGACCAGAGAGGGAAGATTGTCCAGGAGGAGTAGGAGCCATGGGGGTGACTCAATGGCTACCGTCAGAACAGAGAAAGAAGTGCCCTGGTTCAGTCCCTCCTGCCCCCTCCAGTCTTGCGCCAGCACCTCCCATTGGCTGAAAGCACCTAGAAACCAGGACACAAGGAAGCCCGGGCAATGTAGTTTCCTTGATGCAAAGCTCAGCTCGGCATGGCAGGGACTGGGCTGAGCAGACTGGGCCAACTGTCTTAGCAATCGGAGATTTGGAGAGCAAGCACATGGGTGCTGAGCTTTTTGATTAAAGGGCATGAAATTATAGAAAGTATAACAGGTTTAATATTCTTATGACAAATGGTACAAAGTTTCCTGGGTTCTTTCTATTTTGACAAAAATTCAAAGCATTTTAGGGATAGAACATTTTAGGGTTATTGTCCTTAACTGGGAGACATTTGCCTCTCGGGATATTTAGCAATGTCTGGAGATATTTTTGTCACAATTGGTATGGAAGGGGAATGTTACTGGCCTTTAGTGGGTAGAGGCCAGGGATGCTGCTAAACATTCGATAATACACAGGAACATGCCCCCATAACAAAGAATTATATGGTCCCAAATGCCCATAGTGCTGTGCTTTCGAAACCCTGCTTTAGAGAATCACATCTGAATAACAGCGCATCCTCTTGCCAGGGGACAGTAAGGCGCCTGTTATCCTGGGGAGTGAACTGGATAGGAGTCAGGAGTCATTTTAGCCCGGGCTCCGAATTTGATGGCTTTGTAATCTTCGCAAGTCACTTAAGTTTCATCAATTCCAAATGAGAAATTTCATCTAGAAGATATCTGCTTGTGATAGTTCATTGAAGTTTTAATGTTGACCTTTGTTACCGAAAGTGATTATGAGGGAAGGATATTAAAATCAGATTTAAGAATAAGTCCATATTTTACCTTCATGCTTCCCAGAACAAACCACAATATTAAAAAATATATTCAATTTTATTAAATTACTTAAGAACACAGCCATGGCAAGAACAAAATAAAAAGAAATTGTGATCAAACGATAACTCAATGTAGGTAGAAATGTATCTTCCAATTAAGGAAAATGTAGAAATTATCTTCATTATGTTTAAGGTTGTACAATTGCACTCATTTAGATACATAAAATATATATTAAATTTTGACAAATGCTTTTCAAATCTGTCCATTTCTCTGCTTCCCTGTGGTTAACATCTTATCTGATCTCACAATCCCTCCTGAGTTAATGGTCTATTCGATATCCTTCCTTTCTTTGTTTTCCTTACTGATATATCCCTGATTTTGTTGGGGACAAGGAGCCCAACTAAACTATTTTATCTCCCACCACTTACTGTAATGAAACGCCTCTTTAACACGCCTAGCAAACACACAAGAATACAAGTTATTTGTGAGTCTTCCACAGCAGCAGGCTGTTCTCATTTTTAATTAATCTTTCAATAACGTAGAAGCATCTTTTAAGTGACTAAATTTATTGGACTCCACATAGAGCATGAAAATAGCATTTTTTCGTACTTGATAAAAGAGAGCCTTTCTGATGCCTGTCATCTAAATTGAGCAAGATTCACATAATTTGAACTGTGCACAGCTGAAAAAATGTTACTTCTCCTGTACCCCAGGCTGGAAAGGACACTGAGAGGGCTGTGTCGGGCGCTAATACAGACCATTCCTAAGCACCTCCCTTGGAGAGTTAGTTCTGAACTAGACAAATACAGTGAGCCACTGGCAAAGCCGGGATATTGTTCCAAATTGACCCGAGGTTTATTTCTGAACTCTGCTTGGTCCTGTCCTTGGACCAGCATCCTGATGTTGAACATTACAAGGCTTGATATAGAATAGAATAAGCTCTCTCACTTTGTTGTTAAGTGCTGTGGTTATCCTTTGCCCTTGTGTTTCTGTAGAAATTTTAGAAGTAAATTGTCAATTTGCACATGCACGTATGTGTGCATGTGTTGTGTACACACACACACATATTCCTACTAGAATTTTTATTGAGATTGCTTTGAATCTATAGCTTACTTTTTTTTTTTTTTAAGGAAGTTTTCACCAAGAAAATGACTTTTTTAAATACATGTTTTTATTGATTGATTTATTTTATTTTAGAGAGAGAGGAGGGGAGAGGAGAGAGAGAGAAACATCAATTAGCTGCCTCCTGCCTGCCCCCTACTGGGGATAGAGCCTACAACCTGGACCTGCGCCCTGACTGGGGATCGACCTCTTGGTGCACAGGACGACACTCAACCGATTGAGCCACACTGGTTGGGCCACAG